AGTCTGCAATTTCAATAGCATTAGTTGACTCTTTTTCACTTAAATATCTATGTCTAGTTTTATCCACCTGAGACCCAGAAGAACCTATTTCAGATAATTGGAATGTAACTGTGGTGAAGTAGATTAAGTGCAAAAGCGGCCTGCCATACCCGGGAGCGTCCTCGTGCTGCTGAAATGATCTGCAGCGCTCAGACCCCGACTGTTAAATTAACAAGGTGGACGAGCGAGCAACCGTCCACATCCTGTTTTCATCTCCAGCTAACAAGAAAGAACTGTTTTTCAGACTTCTTTCTGGGTTTAAAAAAAAACAAACAAACCTCCGGTTGTTTCCCTATGCGCGCGCACACGCGTGTGTGTGTACAGATTTTTGCTTCATGGTGGGTACAGTTATTGACCTTTTCCCCGGTACACAGCCTGGTGAGGTTAGGGTTTGGGTCAGGTGTGTAGCGCTGACGCTATATTGCCTTATATGTATTAGCTCAGCGCTAGCACGACAAACAAGCTAAACTGAGGTCCTCCATCCATATTTTCAGTTACAGGCTGAGTCATTTTTGTGTTCCTCTCTGTCATGTGGATGGAGGACCTCAGTGACGAGAGGAGAATGTGTAGCGCTGAGCTAATACATATATATGGTGATAGCGTCAGTGCTAACGCTAAAGCTAACAGGCTAAGCTGAGGTTCTTCTTCCATAAAGCAGCTCTGTTGTCCTCCATCCATATTTTCAGTTCCAAGCTGAGTCATTTCTACCTTCTCCTCTCTGTCAACGCTCTCTGGTTTCATTGAAAAGAGTTGATCTTCAGATATTGTCTAAGATTAACCTTCAGGGTGGATATAGCTCACCAGCAGCCTCGCACCGATGACCTATACACGTCATCATCTACCCAGAATGCTTTGTGTGTAAATAAAATGGCCCCGTCCGTGTAATATATTCTTTAACTTTTAGTTTAAAAATTATAAAAACTGAGCATCCTACAGTATTTTTAGTCTTTATTTTACTGCTAAAGTATATGTTTATCAAATAAAGTCTAATGTTACAACTAATCCGGGATCCCTTTAAGACAAATAGAAAAAGTTTCATGCAGAAAAAATTCTTTAAACTATTTTTAAATTTTTGTTTTAAACTTTAAAATGGGTCAATTTGACCTGCAACATAACAGGAGGGTTAACTGCTTGTTTTTTTTTTTTTTTTTCAGGACTCCAAATCTGGTAAAAACGGCAAAGAGGACAGCACTATTCTGCAGCAGGCACTGAGAGACAGAGATGAGGCCATAGAGAAGTGAGTTCACACACTTCAAAATAACTGAATCAAGACTAAATGAGGGGGAAAATCTGTTTTTGACTCGTCGTTTCGTTTTAATTATTTAAAAAAATTTTTTTTTGCTGTGCAGAAAGAAGGCGATGGAGGACGAGGTTCTGCGCAGCAAGACGGAGATGATGATGCTGAACAACCAGCTGCTGGAAGCGGCACARAAACGTCTGGAGATCTCGCTGGAGCTCGAGGCCTGGAAGGTGAACTGAAGACGAGTTTAATGTTTAACAGAGGAAGGGTGTGCCCTCCAAACAAACACACACYTTGGACCGATTTAAAACCAGAGCGTCGTTCTCGGGCAGCCATGCAGAACTCAGCTGCAAGAGTCTAGAAAAGTAGAACACGCRCACGTCATTATCACAAGCTGCTAACTGTGACGCAGAAGGTGTTCAGRCATCAAACAGGACACGCAAAACAGCAATTAAAGTTCACCTACATTACATTAATGACCTGCAGTGTTTGAAGGCGTTGGTGTCCTGCCTGTGGGCGTAAATGTTGGTTTTCATTGTTTACATTCTTCTCTGGCACATTTTAGACACTTTAAATGGTCACCGCCTAAAGATGGAGGCAGGCAGTTATGKTTTTGTTTATGCGTGTTTGGAAATAAATCGTTAAGATATTCAYCTAAACTGTTTGAGTCAATCCAATTCAAGACGTCCRCTAAAGCTTATCAACAGTAGACTACGCAAAAATGGCCACGACTCAGTCCGTTTTATAAACGTTAAGCTGAACTGTTCTGTGGTTGTGTCTGAGAGTCATTATTAACGCACACAGAATGTTATTTTAATGTGTGGTAAAAACTTTTAACATCTTTATTGTGAGGGTTGGGTGGTGTTCGTTTCCAGCAGTCATTGTCCGAGAGGCGGGAGACACCCTGCGCAGGTTTCAAAAGTCCATCTCTGGGACAAAYGAGACAAATAATTTACACTCTCGCCCACACCTAGTGACAATTTAGAGCTTTAATAAACATAACATGCCTGTGGGCTGTGGGGGGAAAAAACACACCTGCGCAGGGAGAACATGCAAAAAAGTTTACAGTGGGATAGAAGATAAATAAATCTATGTTTTTTTTAAAGTCAATACTGCAACAAATAATCTAGTTTTTAACATTTGTAACTAAATATTTTCACAATAACATTTATTATCTTTATGGATTAGGGAAACTAGAATTGAGCAGAACTGCGTAGGAAAGGCAAGGGCCAGGCTATCTATGGACACACTTTTAGACCAAGTTAAAGTGTGACCTCAAAATGTTGTAATAAATATAAGTGCGTTTTTTGAAAAATAATAATTACAGCTGAGATGAACAGTTGTTGAGATATTTGCATGCGAAGTAACAGGAAGTGATGTCAAAGGAGAACGTCTGCATGTAAACAGTGTTGCTACAACTACTAACAGCTGTAGAGAAGAATCTGTTTCTTTGGATTGTTTTTGAGTCACCATCAGAGATGAAAAGTTATAGTTCAAATAATATTGTTTCAATAAACAAAGACCGAAGAGTTCCCCTTKGATGTCACTTCCTGTTTCACTTTGGCTGAGCCAAGTTCAAAAGAAAATACACCAGTTATGTGACAAACTGGGTAAAATCATGTGCGTTATGCCAAGTTTCTTATATAAAAAGATGTTTTCTGAGTTTTTGTATTTGAAGGACATGCATGTCRCGGGCACTTTAAAATAGTGTGGTAGTAGCTGAAGGTCATCTGCAACACCAACTCTGAGCATTAACTGATCACACGCTTTAAATTTGTATTCCCTTAAGTTATCACATTTTAATTTGTTTTACTTTTTCAGGAGGACTTCCAGCAGCTCCTCCAGCAGCAGCTGGTGAGTCAGCAGCAGGCAGAGCAGGCCCAGAAGAARCCTTCCCGCATGGGCATCCTGAGGAGAACCAACAAGCCTCCCATCCAACGGCCAAACAACTTCCCTCTGCCTGCACCCATACCTCACACAACCAACTCCAGCCAAATCTTCATGACGGGACACACTAACTTGCCGAGTCCTTCAAACTGCGTCAGTCCTTCTCCTAACAAAGGCACCTGGAAGCTGAAATTTAAGAAGGGCAAGCACAGTCAAATCTCAGACCTGGATGGAGAGGAGCTGGACTGCAACGACGGCTTCCAGGTCGTGTCACTCGATTGAAACCCCTTTTACAGAGGAAACCTGATCTGATGCACAACTCCTACACATAAAGTAGGATTTTATGACGGTTAGGTTGACAATCATGCAGATGAACAAGATTCAAAACCATGAAGAGAGAATTAAAGTTTTATTTAATCAGACGAGACGACAAAAAAGCTTTTGGATTCTTGGAAGCACCAGTGCTACTTTCAGCAGTTTTATTGAGGTAATTGAACTTTATTTATGATCAGTAACATAACCAAACAACTGAATGACAATATTTTATTTAATACATTTATTACATTTTGAATATTTAATCGAACACATACTTTAAATCTTGAAATGCCTTACTGTAAAAGAATACTACTGAGGATGAATGAGCCATGTAAATATTATTGTGATGTTTAAATGCTTTACAGTGACATAAAATAAAATAAATATATTGAAACAAATCACTTGGGGTCATTTGAGCGTTTTGCAAGAAAATACATTCAACTTTTTCCACAGATATTAGCCATTTTATTGTATATTTCCAACAATATATAATCCACTTCTATATGCATATTGCAAACATTTTACAATTTTTATATATATTCCATTTTGGAGAATGGGAGCCACCACTGTGGCCACATGGTGAACAAACAAAGCACAGCAAGGTAACAGCAGATGAGAAGAGAAAAGGCATGCTCAGAGTGAGACAGGATACAATCCTGCACAGATGGGTACAGTCAGTGGTGGGCACAGGTCCACTCATCTGATAACTTTATAAATAAGTAATGAACATAACTCACGCTAAAATAATAAATAATTTTATTTTCCATGCTGCTCCCTCCTCTTGTAAACAGATCTTCTGACTCTCCCAGCATCCTTTGCAGCATGGACATTGCTCAGTCACAGACTAGCCTGGCCCTTGCCTTCCTACGCAGCTCCGCTCAATTCTAGTTTCCCTTCTCTGCTCCGTTTGGGACTTCTCCCATGGACTATTTCGCAGATACCGCTACCTTTGCTTAGCGCAAAGCATCATGGTCCAGTTTGGGGGCATCCGGTGCCGGTGTGTGGATGAAA